TCTCGTTCTGTCTCTTCCTCGGTGCTCTCCGCCGGCTGCCGCAGGGGGGGCCCACCGTCTCTCCGTGCTCTCCACGGAGACATGGGGGCGCCGGCGGTCCACGCCCGCCGCGCCCCCCGATCGTGCGGTCTCTGCTCGGCATAGCTGGGACGTAAGCACAAGGGAATGCTCTCAGGAAAGGCGGTCTCTCTCCTCAGATCTGAGGGAACCAGTCTCGGGTATGGCGGACGCGCTCACGCTCTTGCTGCGCGCTCTCATATGGCAGGAGGCGCTCTCCTGTGTGCTCGTCTGCTCAGGCCTACCTTTTTTCTCGTCTCTGCAGGCGTCAGGTCGGATCGGGGCCATTCACCAGAGGCTGCGGGACGGGGGGGGCTGGGCACCCGGCGGGCAGAGACTGCGACGGTATCAGTGGCAGAGTGAGCGCCGGGTCCGTCTGCGGGGGGTGCGTCTAAGGTCGTCATCGTGCGGAGGGCATGGGCGGCTCGCGGTGGGGGAGGGGGCTCTTCTCAAGCCGGGATAGGGGGGGCTCGCGAGGGGGGGGGTGGTCCTATTCTCTCCTCCTCGCGATCGGTACGGGGCGGTCGGGAAGATTCTCGAGCTCGGGGGGGGGGGGAGAGGTCCGGGAGGGTGCGGGTCTGGTCAAAATACGGCAGGGGCGCGGTCAGTAGCCGCGCTGCGGTGACTCCCGCGTCGTCGCGGGATCTGGGCCGGCGTCCGGACGATGGGAGGTCTGGCGGCGGGGGAGAGGGGGTATCGGGGTACGGGTCCGAGGGCGGACGTGGGGGCAGTCCATCACTCGCGGGGGCCTGCCCCTGAGGGTCGGAAGCGAGCGTAGTGGGTGGGGAGGTCGCTCGTCCGGTGGCGGGCTCGGGGGTGGGGGCCCGGGCTGCGTCAGCAGGATATGGAGGTAGGAGGGTCGCTGGCGGTGCGAGGAGCGATCGGGGGGAGGCTCGCTGCAGGCGGGAGTCGGGGGATACGGTCGAGAGGAAGGGTCTGTCCGTGGGCCGGGTCGGGTGCCGCGGCAGGGGGAGGGCGGTCGCTCGCGTCGCAGTCGCGGACGGGGCTATGGTGCGGGTGCGGGAGCAATGCTAGAATTAGATCATTGATTGTGCCGAGTGTTTTCTTGAGCACCCGTTTGAATTCCACACAATAAAAGTTTGCCAGCACGGTAATCCGATTCGTCAAGAATTGCTCGTCGGCCAGGACATCGCGATCCCCGCGTTATTTTTACCGGTAACCGACCATGCAATGCGAGACAGTAACAGCAAGTTAGACCTGTCACTAAACTGTACACCAGCGCGCGACTATTCTGCCTAACCCGTACCGGCTAAATCTTATATATATAACCAAGAACCTCCAAATACCGCGTCGTATGTGTGGTGGCGGATTTTTACCGCATTAGATTAGTCGTACGGTAAAAAGTACACGCCCCCCGGACCGCCCCTAGTTGCCCCCCCTCACCCCCCACCTCCTACCCCCTCCCCTCCCCCCTGTTTGAATTTCATCCTGGGGAGAACCCTGTGGGTCAGTGATTTTTATGTCACGTGTATTTGGTGGTCGAACATCCAACAATGTAATCACACAGAGATCATGATTTTCGGATCTTATTGAGTATCGTGACTTAGTGTTAGCTAACGGGGGTTTCTTAATATAAGTGAGGATTCAGCAGCAAGAAATGCATCCCTTTTAATACCAGATGGATAGAGATAGAGATAGATGGATAGAGCGAGAAAGAGAGTGAGAGTGAGTGAGTGAGTGAGTGAGTGAGTAATTTCCATTTGTCTTTTACAAAGTTACATCGATATAACCCAGTCTTAAAATAAAAAAAAATAAAAATAATAATTACTAAAAGTCAGTGATAATTTGTTTGTCAATCAAAAATTTATTTGACCTAATACAATTATTCATTACCTCCGCCCACGGAGTGGAGGGGAGGTTATGTGATCGGGTCTGTGCGTTCGCGCGATCGATATTAGAGCAGCGAGTCAGCAGCAGGCGAGTCAGTCGGCAGCAGCGAGCGGCGAGCGACGAGTCAGCAGCAGGCGAGTCAGTCAGCAGCAGCCAGCAGCGAGCGGCGAGTCAGTCAGCAGCAGGCGAGTCATCAGCAGCAAGCCACCACAGATGCCGACGATCAGCAGGCAGGCGAGTCAGTCGGAGCACGGCAGCCAGCAACGAGCCAGCTGTTATACACATACATGTACATGGTGGCGGAGGTAGCACTCTTATCGCGAGGCCCTCTGTCTATGTATATCTGCATTTGCTATAGTTTATGAACAACTAGCAGAAACCTGCTAAGAAGAAGTAATAATATGGAATTATGTCTCGTCCTTGCTGTGTTGCATCGCGTTCGTCAACACTGACAGCTGGCCCAATTGCTGCAATGCTTTAGGCGACCGATGCAACAGATGCCAGTTGATAGGCGCCCGCCATCGTAATGCGAATTGTATTACAGCTAGTGTTGTCTTTTTGGGTTAGAAATGAACGTATTAAGGACGTCTTGCTATGTCACTAAATGAATTATCCAGTAAGAACAACGCAGACACGAGATGAGCCCGTCCTCGGCGGCACCTTCTAGTTATAGGTTGTAATGAATACTGTTTTAGTACATGTACCGAAGGAGGTCCGGTCCATTGAGAAAACCAAATGAAGGTTTATTTTCAGTATACCTGACTTCTTTGCGAAATGATTATTCCATCATAAATGCCCGACTAGTTTGATGACGTTCGATATTGAATAGCAGGCCCCGCATACGGCTCGCATGTTTGCCAAAGTTTGTCAAATGAGAATACGGCTACATGTACTGTAAGCACAGAATATGTTGTCATACAATCATGTCAACGTGAATAGATAATTGTGGCATTTGTTAAAATTGGAAACACAAAATAGAAATAATCGGTTAGTTCATCAAGGCTTTACAAATATGTATGTAGGTATGCAATAAATGTGGTTGGAGTGTCCAATAATCGGATTTAAATCTTAAGTTGTTTTAATACATAATTGCAATTGAAACTATTACGTACTGGTAGCAAGAGACTTGTAATTTTGTTTTAAGTTTAAGTAGTTAAGTGATGTCTAGGCTGACAAATCGGCCTGATGATTAATTGAATTTTTTCAGCGTGCAACTATGATTGTTAGGCAAGCGCAAAAGTAGATAAATCATCAAACTATGTACAGAAGTATGCATACCCTGCATGCACATGCAGTGGCAACAATACGACAACCCCATTTGAACTATCCACATGTCATGTACACCTAGTGTTGCAGTGGATTGTCCGCAATCGCGGAGATGGTCGAAATGAAACCTTTCTGTGCATGAAGGGACATATGTCCACCTGAGCTATACCTCCGAACACAAATCGAATTATGATAATGTACTTTATGTATGTTGGACGCAGTACGATGCACACATTACAATATTTTAGTCAATAATAAATAACGTACTGAAATCAATACCGTAGAACGGCATCAGAAGAGAATGTACCATAGCACAGAAATTGTATTGACCTCTGACACTGCTGACAGCAGTGCTGTATTGACTAGTGCATTACTGCATATTATCACGAGGCTCATAGGGTCTATGTCCGCCCCAGGGTACTGCCTGGAAAGCGACCGCTTGGTATGCGGGTCGCGGTATAAACCGGACCTACTCTGGTAACGACTGATATGTTTAGGGTAGGGAGAGTAGGTCGTAGCCGACTCCTAAAGACCCGTTATAGTGAGTAGGCGAGGTACTCCGGCAATATAATAGGAACCAGGTACTTCCGGTATATATACGGACAGTACCAGGGTAGCGTTGCCGGCAGACCTGCTGGGACATAAGACGCCTACCAGCTACACGAGCCATAACACGACACTGTCAACTGAGCCAACTGCAGGGTACAGAGTAAAGATTATACTACTGATAAGCTTGACCATACGATGAAGTTTTAGTCGTTGCTACTGGTAATATCCTGTTAATACTCATTATCGTTCTTTTTACGAGTGCCACCGACATAAACAGGGCTAGAACAATGGCTTCTGCCACGCAGAAACTGCGGCATGCAACCAAAATGACATAGTTTGTTTACCAACTTGAACGCCCCTGTACTATTACTAGGGCTACGGTCAACTCGGCCCACCAGCCAACTCGCACCGTGTGGCAATGTTATATATATGAATAAATAAATAAATATATATAAAAATATATATATATATTGTATATACCGTGCGTGTACAAAGTACTAACTTATCATGCAAACGTTTTTGACGTGGGGGCGTGTGAAACATCTCACGAGTTAGCCGGCAGGCGAGCTCCAACGCGATTCCAGGAGGGTGAATCCATCCGCATGAAGCGAGCCTCACCCGATCTCCAGATGGGTGAACTGCGCCAACAGTGCGGGGCGAGTTGCAGTGGGCCGAAGTTGACCGTAGACCCTAATACTGATAAATGAGACTAATAAGACTATAGTAAAGACTAATAGTAATACTAAGCACTAGTAGCGACTGGTGAGCGTATTCAGGCCACCTGCCTGGCACGTACACTTGCGACTGTCACTGGCACTGAGATAATTAATGAATTATAATAATGATGAAATGTGATACACTGATAGTAAATCTATTGCACGCATGCACACAGACGCACGACACGCAACGCACACTGTCACAGACGCACTGCAGCCAGCACCACACTCACACCAACACACCACACACACTCGCCACACACACACACACACACACACACACACACACACACACACACACACACACACACACACACACACACACACACACACACACACACACACACACACACACACACACACACACACACTGATAATACAGAGAGAGAGAGAGAGAATATTTAGGTAACAGTTGCAGTGTATGAACCTATTACATTACTGATTATGATTAGATTGCTTACTCTGTCAATACATTATTTGTCTTTAATGTTTTTTTGTTATGTTGAACATGGCATTTCATTGTTTTCTGACGGTGTGTAACATTCCACGTTGACGTTTATGTTTTAGGGAAAATGGCTTCCGAACAGCCATGCTACACACTAATCAATGTTCCTACAGACACAGATGCACCCAATGAACTGCAGCTGAAGCAGGATATAGGTATATCAAAGTAGATTTAATGGTAGTAGTAATGTACTTCAGTGTAGGTATTCTTTGCTAGGTGAAATCCCAATGTGTCCAGATGAAGAATGTAATATACCTTTTCAATTTCATATATGTTTGTGAGAGGGTGCTCATAGTAAACTAGCAGGTAATTAAATATAGTGTTTTTACATGAAGATTGTCTTCACATAGAATTGTGAGCATGATTGGTCATATACATCTACACCACAACTTGCTCGACGAACTTGATATTTACCGAGTTCATGTGACAGCAAGTACAGACTAGCTACCTTTTCTTGTTGCACACACACTGGCACAGTAAATCTAGTATTGATGACCACTACCGCTTGCTATTTCAGAAAAGGGGGATAACAAAGCTAAGATCGATGCCTTGAAAAAGGTTATTTATATGATTTTGAATGGAGAGATGCTGCAGCCCTCTATGCTAATGCACATCATCCGTTTCCTTCTACCCTCACAGGTGAGGAGTGTGTGCCAATACAGATAATAAGTTAGTTATAGTCAGTTAAGTCAGTTAATAAGAGAGTAATGGTCTCTTCGTGTTACAGTGCTGCTTAACACAAAGAACTCGGCACATGTGGGAAACAGCACAGATGTCAGTACAAGGGATAGCATGTTATACTGGACACATCTTAGTACAAGGAATAGCACGTCATACAGTACACATGTCAGTAAACGACACTGGCATGTAGTATCTGTTAGTGGGCATGCATTTAGACGTAGCAGAAATGGCGTTCCATTGAGTTAACTTTTTCTTTGGAGGTGGTTTGCTATAGCACCTGTTGTTAGCTCATCTGACATAGTCAGATGCAGCTTGTAGAATCGCATGAGCGTGCGTCCGTGCGTCCATGCGTCAACAGTTGGGCACAAATCTAAACGGCTCGACGTACGGATTCGAAAGTCGGGACGTGGGGGGTAATCCGAGAACGAGTTGGGATGTCGAAGCTGGGGGTCAAAGGTCAAAGGTCAAGAGGTGTAAAAGAAGGGGGAACATTCCCTCCTTAACTTAAGGTATTGGGAGGAAATGCAGAATTGCGGCACAAATCTAAACGGCTCGACCTAGGCTCGTGATAGTCGGTGTATAGCATCATGGCAGGCTTTCAGATTTGAAAAGTACAGGAGGACTACTAATGACTCCCCTAGGACACCATAGGGGGTCTTTTCACGCTCCATAATCACTCCTTGAGGGCTCTCCATCATGCCTCTTGGGGTGTGATGATGGAATCATGACCAATCCTCAGTCTAGAGTGAAATCCAAAACAAAAATTGGGATGTCATGTCAATCCACTGGTTATCATTCATCTTCACCTTCATTCATTCAATGGCTTCGTCATGATTACATTTTTTTCATCCAACAACCCAACACTAGCAAACAGATTAATAAAAGAGTTGATCGGATGTAAAAATAAACTTGTTTTATTTATTCTGATCTTCATCCTTAGAGACTCTAATCCATGTACCTGCATATTTCAGCACGAAATATCATAACAATCCATCAATAAACTAGCCAAATTACTTGTACGTAGTAGCCACGTATGTAGCCCCTCCAGCCCTACGACTGTTTCACGTCGGCAGAAAACCACTTCTCGCCACGTATAGTGGAAAACGAGCAGGTAACTTGTGGCTACCGTGTGGTACGTGTATTTGGATGCTGTTGTCTAGTTGTATAAACCAGAGAGACCGGGTACAAGATGGCGTTGCGCAAAAGATGCGTTGTTCCCCGACCGCCGAGAGCGGTTAAGCCGCGCACTTCCGCGGGACTGGGCGCACGCGACCGCGGTGTGTCTCGCGACCTCGGTGTGTCGCAGCATTTCGCGCTGCCCGCTCTACAAATTCGCGCGCCGAAGGAGGGCGGGCGCGCGAATCCGTATAACGGGAAGCGTAACATCACGCAGTTTTCGTCACACACCGGCTCGGCTATGGCGGCCTTCGGTGGGGGCATTTGCTGCTGCTGCTGCTGCAGAGACCCGCTGCGGGTGTTGCTATCCCCCGGGCGTGGAGGGAGGTCATGTGATAACGTTGACGATGACGTTCAAAACGTTAACCCTAACGGTTACCCTTACTCCAACACCGCCAACACTAACCCTCACACTAAATATATATGTCTCGCCGCGCTATATATAGGCATTGTGATCCACAAAAATTAATCTATGGTGTGGGGACAGATATCATGATGCAAAAACCCTAACCCTAACCCTAACCCTAACCCTAATCCTAACCCTAATCCTAACCCTAACCCTAACCCTAACCCTAACCCTGACCCTAGCCCTAATCCTAACACTATCCCAACACTAGTGCTGCCACGCTGCGGTCACCTCCCTCCACGCCCGGGGGATAGCATTACCCCCGCGCTGCGCGGCAGGGGCGAGTTTTTGTTGCTGTTGCTGCTTTGCGAGTATCTACTTAGCTACGTGTAAAAACTGGCACGGCCGCGCCACCCCGTGCTCGCAGTATTCGCCCGCCACGCCAGCGCAGGTGCTCGCACGACGTGCCGTCGCGACGGGCAGCGCGGGGTCAATAGGTTGGTAAAACCTCGCACGTACGCAGTCAGGCGCCGGCACGGCGGGAGCGCGTTTGAAGATAGCATCTAGGCCGCGCCACCCCACGTGGAGCGCCGTACAACACTTCGTAAAAAGCTCTGTGATAGACATAACGCTATACTCGGCACTAGCGGCCAACGAGCGAGCGCGTCATCGCTGATTGACAGCATTTCTTGCATTTTCTTGTAGGAGTCACTACGTCTTAGCCATGAGGCGCGCCACCCCAAAAAAAGTTTAGGGGCCGTTTGGAGATGGCCTCCTGCCGTCCATCGCGAAATGTCGGTTGGATTGCGCCCAGTTTTCGCGTAGTGCGTTTTCAGACCCCTGTCTCAGATATCTGTCTAAGTGGACAAAAAGGGGGCGGCGTATTCGCGTTGGGGCGACACACAACACAAATTGTTGTGTGTTGCTAACCTTTTTGTACCCCCCTACATTGACAAATCTATGGAGCGCTATTTCAACATAATACACATACTTTTGGTGCGCGATGATGCACGCACCATGGCACAATTTCGTGTGCGCGGTGGAGCGCGAGCGCGATCGCGCCTCTTAAAAGTGAAAGCCTGTCATGGTAGGAAAAGCCATCAATGTGCCGAAATTGGAGGTCAAAGGTCAATGGGGCACAGGGCAGATTTTAGACATTTTCTGAGGACATGGTCTGACGGAGCGATTGGAAAACTTTTTGTTTCAGCGGTGACCTACCATTTTTATGGCTTTATTGAAAGGACCATGAAATGTGCTTTCCACTGACGTGCGAAGAGTAAGTGACTGATAACCTGATGACCCTCAAGAGGAGGGTTAAACATGGATTCCTGAACTGCCTCAATGATGTCACAGTGTTCTCATATATTTATGGCACATCCATAATCTGGAAACCCAATATGCCTCGATAGCCAAACGGCTACAGCACAGGATTATGGCTCAAAGGTCCTTGGATTGAATCCCATCAGATTTTTGATTATTTACCTGTTTTATGTATTTTTCTATCTTTATCCATTTAACTATTTCTTTCCAATTAAGGAAAATATTTACAACAATTTCATAACAACAAATAATTTTTACAACAATTAATTATTATTTTTTTAATAGGGTTAGCGTTAGGGTCACAATGCACCATTAAACAGGAGTTTCAGGCACGCGAAGGGGTGTGTATCAACCAATGGGGTGTGGGAGGTATGCAGAATGCAGAAGGTCGCTGAAATGATGTGTACGCAACTGCGTATCTGCATATCTGCGCCTAACAAAGGTGTCACTACGCACGAATTAAATGTTACGTTTATAACCGTATATAGCAACAGACCTCAGATGAGCCCAGACGCTCTGCGGCTCTTGTTCATGTGTGTAGTAAAATGCTTTTTAAAAAGTTATTTCAACTATATTGTTTGTGTCTCTCAGGATCACACCATTAAAAAGTTGCTGCTTATCTTCTGGGAGGTCGCTCCTAAGACAACACCTGATGGGAAGCTACTGCAGGAATTCATCCTAGTTTGTGATGCCTACAGAAAGGTTTGTCAGCACAGAGTTTTGTTTTGCATATCTCCAGTGCTTACATGCTTGTACTGAGCTGGCTTAATCCCATATATTGCCTTGTACTTTATCATTTTTCCAGAGGATGGCTGACTAGATGACCGTATGGTCTTTTCGTCATCCCTTCGCTGTATTGTTTATTATTCGATTTGTTAAAATTCTTGTACTTACTAATATTGAAAGCGATAAATAAAACTGTTATATCTTATATCTTATATCTTGTAATTTCTTCAGGTTAACGGTTAATAGAGTACAGCTTTCTCATTTTTTTTCTCACTCAGGATCTGCAGCATCCGAATGAGTTTATTCGGGGGTCGACGCTACGCTTCCTGTGCAAGCTGAAGGAGCCGGAACTCTTGGAGCCGCTGATGCCTGCGATCAGGGCCTGTCTAGAACACAGGCACTCGTACGTGAGACGTAACGCTGTCATGGCAATCTACACCATTTACAGGTGAGGGAACGCGGTAGTTGTCGGTGCCGGATATGAGTCGTAGTAATAGTAGCAATTAGAAGAATGCATAGAGAGAAGGAGGTGATGTATGCACTAGTGGGAGTTGACACAATGAAGTGGAAGCTGGTTTGTTAAAGGAAACATTGATGGAAGAAGCTGAGGAGGAAGAAGCAAAAGTGGGCAGGGATATGTATGATGGGTGGAATACTATTAAAAAGTATTTCCTGAGAAAGCAAACATCGGGACTGAAACGGAAAGAATGCAAGACATTTCGAGAGGGGAAAGAAGAGCTTTTCACCATCAAAAGCGTAGTACCAGTATCGGGTGTTGAACGAATGCTACTGTGGCCAGTTGAAGACATCTGCACGCACCTGTCTCACCGATAGATGACATCCGGGATGTTCGGGATTTCTCCTGTAGGAACTTCGACGTTCTCATTCCGGACGCGCCCGAGCTGATCGCGAACTTCCTGGAGGGCGAGCAGGACGCGTCGTGCAAGCGTAACGCGTTCATGATGCTCATCCACGCCGACCAGGACCGCGCGCTCGACTACCTGTCGACCTGCATTGACCAGGTGCACGGCTTCGGTGACATCCTGCAGCTCGTCATCGTCGAGCTCATCTACAAGGTGTGTTCAGAAGGATTTAGCATTTTTGCTAATTCTAATCCTTGCTAATCCCCAGATGTAATGCGCACGTGAACATATTTGCATGTACCGTGCGCAATATAAATCAATAAATGTTATTATTATTGCTGATATAGTTATCGCCATCGTCAAAGTTATCCGGAAGAGGGCGCGAGAGAGAGGGCAGCAAAAGATTCATTGATTTATTGGGATTCCGTCATTCGTCTTTGTATAGTCAGAAAGCGTTAACCGACAGTTTGAGTCGTGTATCGAAATACAGCTATCGACACAGAAGTTATCGAATAAATACAGTCCTATGTCGTACACACCATACAGAAGTGAATTATGTGTTTCTTTCGTGCAATTCATTCAACCAGGTGTGTCTGGCGAACCCGACTGAGCGCGCGCGCTTCATACGCTGCATCTACAACCTGCTGCAGTCGACGAGCGCGGCCGTGCGCTATGAGGCCGCCGGTACGCTCGTGACGCTATCCAGCGCGCCGACCGCTGTCAAGGTGAGTAGTCGCACTGTTGCCACATAATAACCCCTCGGTCATCCCTATATTTCTATATTTCTGTTGTTTGTGCGCAGCGGCGTGCGTGCGGCAAGACTGCGTGTTGCAAAAAGAGCATTTGAACGGCGTTTACTTGGAATTATTAGTCGATAGAGAATACAGGAACATTGATACTTTTATCTTTCATGGTAGTAAATGAACATAATAATGTATTTGTGAGCTGTAAATGTGATTTACGAGTATAGGGTACCTGAGTAAGCAAATATGAGGTGCACGGTAGGTTAATGTTGCTGTTACTCCCCAGGCTGCAGCCAGCTGCTACATCGACCTTATCGTAAAGGAAAGTGACAACAACGTGAAGCTAATAGTCCTTGACAGACTCATTTCACTAAAGGTAAATTCATCTCTTAAGTGTAGTGAGTTGCTGGGTGATGCATATGCAATCTCTAAGTGTAATGCATTGTTGGATGATGAAGCTACAATCCCCATTATCTCCTAAGTCTAGAGCATTGTTAGGTGATGAAGGTACATGTCAAATTGTAAGTGAAGTGCAATTCTAGGGATGCTAAGCATGCGTGCTGCGTTGCTGAGTGACGTAGCTTATAGACGTAGTGCCGGGTAAAGAACACAGGTAGTGCTATAGTTTTGTCTGTGCTACTACAGTAGATGCATACGGTCATTAGAACAACACAGGCAGTGCTACAGGAAGGAAAGAACTCGGGCAGTGCTATAGTTTTGTCTGTGCTACTACAGTAGATGCATACGGCCATTAGAACAACACAGGCAGTGCTACAGGAAGGAAAGAACACAGGCAGTGCTATAGTTTTGTCTGTGCTGGTACAGTAGATGCATACGGTCATTAGAACAACACAGGCAGTGCTACAGGAAGGAAAGAACACAGGCAGTGCTATAGTTTTGTCTGTGCTACTACAGTAGATGCATACGGCCATTAGAACAACACAGGCAGTGCTACAGGGAGGAAAGAATGCAGGCAGTGCTGTAGTTTTGTCTGTGCTACTACAGTAGATGCATACGGTCGTTAGAACAACACAGGCAGTGCTACAGGAAGGAAAGAACTCGGGCAGTGCTATAGTTTTCTCTGTGCTACTACAGTAGATGCATACGTTCATTAGAACAACACAGGCAGTGCTACAGGGAGGAAAGAATGCAGGCAGTGCTATAGTTTTCTCTGTGCTACTACAGTAGATGCATACGTTCATTAGAACAACACAGGCAGTGCTACAGGGAGGAAAGAACGCAGGCAGTGCTGTAGTTTTCTCTGTGCTACTACAGTCGATGCATACGTTCATTAGAACNCACTAACACCCCCACGCATGATGACAACACGTACACTAACACGCCCCCACGCATGATGACAACAGTACACTAACACCCCACGCATGATGACAACACGTACACTGAACACCCCACCATGATGACAACACGTACACTAACACCCCCACGCATGATGACAACACGTACACTAACACCCCACGCATAATGACAACACGTACACTAACACCCCCACGCATGATGACAAACACGTACACTAACACCTCCACGCATGATGACAACACTACACTAGCACCCCCACGCATGATGACAACAGTACACTAACACCCCCACGCATGATGACAACACGTACACTAACAGCCCCACGCATGATGACAACAACGTACACTAACACCCCCACGCATGATGACAACACGTACACTAACACCCCAGGCATGATGACAACACGTACACTAACACCCCCACGCATGATGACAACACGTACACTAACACCCCAGGCATGATGACAACACGTACACTAACACCCCCACGCATGATGACAACACGTACACTAACACCCCCACGCATGATGACAACACGTACACTAACACCTCCACGCAATGATGACAACACGTACACTACACTCCACGCATGATGACAACACGTACACTAACACCCCCACGCAGGGTGATGACAAACACGTACACTAACACCTTCCACGGCATGATGACAACACGTTACACTAACACCTCACCAGCATGTGACAACACGTACACTAACACCCCCACGCATGATGACAACACGTACACTAACACACTCCACGCATGATGACACACGTACACTAACACCCCCACGCATGATGACAACACGTACACTAACACCTCCACGCATGATGACAACACGTACACTAACACCCCCACGCATGATGACAACACGTACACTAACACCTCCACGCATGATGACAACACGTACACTAACACCCCACGCATGATGACAAACGTACACTAAACACCTCCACGCATGATGACAACACGTAACACAACACCCCACGCATGATGACAACACGTTACACTAACACCTCCACGCATGATGACAACACGTACACTAACACCCCCACGCATGATGACAACACGTACACTAAACACCCCACGCATGATGACAAACACGTACACTAACACCCCCACGCATGATGACAACACGTACACTAACACCTCCACGCATGATGACAACACGTACACTAACACCTCCAACGCATGATGACAACACGTACACTAAACACCCACGCATGATACAACACGTACACTAACACCCCACGCATGATGACAACACGTACACTAAACACCTCCACGCATGATGACAACACGTACACTAACACCCCACGCATGATGACAACACGTACACTACACCCCACCCACATCGTCACAAAACGTACACTAACACCTCACGCATGATGACAACACGTACACAACACCCACAGCATGATGACAACACGTACACTACACCCACGCATGATGACAACACGTACACTAAACACCCCCACGCATGATGACAACACGTACACTAACACCCCCACGCATGATGACAACACGTACACTAACACCCCCACGCATGATGACAACACGTACACTAACACCCCCACGCATGATGACAACACGTACACTAACACCTCCACGCATGATGACAACACGTACACTAACACCTCCACGCATGATGACAACACGTACACTAACACCCCCGACGATGATGAACAACACGGTACACTAACACCCCACGCAGATGACAACACGTACACAACACCCCAGGCATGCAATGACAACACGTACACTAACACCCCCACGCATGATGACAACTCAGGTTAGGCCTGCACGCGACTCGCAAATTACTATCACAAACTCTGTCGCTTAGTTCCTTGAAAATTTACACTGCACCGTGTTTACTAGTATATGTGTAAATGAATGTACTTGTGTTAAATCTGGAAAAAAAAGAATAAAAAAAAAAAGTTTGAGTTGTACTCGGTTGTCCGATTTTCTACTCGATTAATATACTCGGCAGCCCAAACGAGTAATGATTTTCACTTTTCAGAGTTTCACTTGGAATATCATTCTGGCTTTATATATTCAAGAGCTTATAAAGAAGGAGAGTGTACAACGGTGAAATGCTGAAACCATGCTGCAGTATTAGTCGAATTAATAAACTTTCCCCGTTTTATTTTGACGATTCTTTGTGGCATTATTGATCAGCTGTCCTACCTTGCTAATATAAAACAAACCGCTTGTCCCTATGATGCCTCTATGCTGAGATAATGAGCGGTGAAAATCTGGTATTTTCGCCGAAAACCGACTCGAGATACGTAGTGGCTGCGACTGTCTCTCATTCTGGCGATAGCTTCGGGAAACCTCGCGCGTTTCCGTCATTCATTGACAATGAAATTTCTTTTCCTTCTACTATCTTTTCTCGCATTTCCAGTCATTGACGCAGCCATTACTCCACAAAAATGTCTTGTTATTTATCGCCATGGTGATGACCCGCCCCTTACGCTGGATGTAGTAACGCTGTAGTAATAACGTATCGAGTCAGCACTACACAGCGGCAACCGGAAGCAACATACAGTCCACAAAACGAGAGACAGTTGCAGTAAACACTGATCTTGAGTCGGTTTTCGGCGAAAATACCAGATTTTCACCGCTCATTATCTCAGCGTAGAGGCATCGTAGGGACATGCTGTTTGTTTTATATTAACAAGGTAGGACAGCTGATCAATAATAATGAATCGTCAGAATCGTCAAAATAAAACGGGGAAAGTTGATTAATTCGACTAATACTGCAACATGGTTTCAGCATTTCACCGTTGTACGCTCTCCTTCTTTATACGCTCTTGATATATTTAATCTGTAGCAACTATTTGCCGGCAATTGCTGTCACTCTTTCTCATTTACATGTGTGTTTGTATATATGTAGGGTGTATCGCTCAGCACTGTGGATTCTGGGAGAGTACTGCAATTCGGTGGAAGAAATCCAAGACCTAATGCACCACATCAGACAGTCTCTGGGAGAGGTGAGCAGGTCATATACCTCGAGTCATGATCGCACAAGAGCTATGTCTATAGATATTTGTTCCTCTATAGAGTAGGCCTTATAGATGTACTAGAAAAGTACCCAGGCAATGGACGGGTGTTGGGTTGATGTAATGGATCTAGGCGGCAGTCAATGAGGGCAAATGAGGAGGAGATGAGATATGTTCCCTGGCAGTGCGTGTATGGTAGCGACAGATAGCGTTAGACATAAATTGGCAAACCACTCGCTACCATTAAAAAAAACACTAAAACCTGAACAACATATTCATGTAACTGTCTGTGACGGAAACGACCCTGTTCAATGCTTCATAACTGAGATATGCGTCACAAAAACATCCCTACGATCTTATAGATTAGTATGGAAATATAAATTGACAGCTTGGCAATTATTGGTAGCTCACCATAATTAGAAGCATTGCTCAATGAATTAATATGTAATTCAGCATCCTGGTTAATAGGCTTCAGAAAATTAAATGGCTTTATAGTTGATTGGCTAGACACACGACCTGCTCCGTCGTTGACAGAGCGGGGTGTTAGCGGGGTGTTAGCGGGGTGTTAGCGGGGTGTTAGCGGGGTGCTAGCGGGGTGTCAAGCGTAGTAGCTGACTGTCTGCTGCCCGCCTCATTAGATACCGATCGTTGACGATGAGATCAGCAAGGCGACGGGCAAGGAGGAGGAACACGATGAAGCCATGCAGCAGAACGTACAGCGTCTTGTCACCGCTGACGGCTCCTACGCCACGCAGAGCGCATACAGCAGTGCGACGAGCTCAAAGAAGAGCACCGAGGAGAAGAGGTGATGATGCCTTCCCCCTCTCGCCTCTAACTCCTTAGATTTCTGCATTTCACTTCAGGGTTCTGCCCACGGTGGGCGGCGGTGGGCGGGTGTGCCCGGCACTCGCGGTTGCCGCCCGGCACTATAAACGAGTCGGTTATCTCCGGTCCCGGCACTAAAAATAAAATTACAAAAATAGTCTCATATATGGGCATTTTATTGCTCAGAATGCAGGAAATTGAGTTTCAGACTATCCAAAATCAAAAACAAATCACTTCGTCGCAACTGGATGTGCCCCGCACTAAAAAATCCTGGGCAGAACCCTGCACTTGGATTCCATGCTGATGTATTCAATGATATATTGCATTCATGCATGTGATTGAGTTCTCACAAGTGATGGTCCAACGCACCTATAGTGTTGCCATCTTCGTTTGTTGCCTGTACCATGCGATTTCCTTGTTTGAATAGTGCGTGTGTGTGTGTGTGAGTGTGGTAGGAGGAAGTGTTGATGTTTAGTTGTTGTTTCAGGCCCCCACTCCGAGGTTTCCTCATGGATGGAGAGTTCTTCATGGGTGCAGCCCTGGCCACCACGCTATCTAAACTGGCCTTACGCTACATGGTCGACCTTGTGTTTGACCCCAAGAAACAGAATGTGAGCAAATCTCTCATAATTTATGTAAAAATGCAAAACGTTTTTTTGTGTATTGTTTGCGGTAAATTAACCTAGTATACAAACAGAGCTAGGTGTACGTTAAGCATACACTTTGGACAGGTACTGCTCAAAGAATCCACTTAAATACACATTTAATTTATAGATGAGATGTCTCTCTATGCGTAAGCTGAGAAATTTCACAAAATGTTCTGCACCTAGTTATGTGACGACAAACATTTGTTCGATGTGAAATGTGAAATTTTTTTCAACAAACGCTGGCCTTGACCCTGACCTTGACTGTTGTTATGTTGCAGCTATTTGTTGCTGAATGCATGCTAGTAATGGGCACCATCATACACCTGGGCCGGTCCGGACTCGCAAAGAAGGTGAGTGTAGTGAGATTAGGTGCAGATACGTGAGAGGTCGTGCCTGGCACACTCATACCGCTGCCGTTGAGAGTCTTTCCAGACGATGATGCGTGTACTGATGATAAGAACACTGTTCATATCCAACACCAACTGTGCGCACGAGCAAAAACCCAAAATGCAATAAATCCTTCAACTTCAATCCAACTTCTAAAGACAACTTTAGTCCTTAAACTGGTGTGTTTTACGGTGGGTTTATCTGACCCCGACCCCGCACGGGGCACTACGCGTGCGCTCGCTAATATTGCTCGGCATGTTTCATTCCGCAGGCAATCACTGAGGATGACTTTGATCGCATTGCGCTCTGCATCAAAGTGCTGGCGGATAGAGTGCCCTCTATCGCCAAGCTGTTTGTTGAAGACAGCCGACAGGCTCTCGCCGTCATGCTAGCTGCTCAGGCAGAGGAGGATCGTGAGAACCAGAAGGTACGCTCACCCGCAGCCCTGAACATTGCACCCTGCTCCTCACCCCCTTCATTCATTGCCATTGCCACGGCGCACTGTTACTTTTGGACCATTCTTAACTTTATTGCTAAGCGTGTTTAGAACGTACTGCTGCGACACTGATTGGCTTAGAGTTGCTTGTCAATCTGACGGGTTAATTCAGCCAGGCAGGTCAGTTGGCGTACCTGTAAGTACATCGGTAGTAGTAGGCAGTAGTTTGAATGCGATCCATGCGTCGTTTAGGTCATGAGTCGTTAAGGTGACGTGATGTGTTGCTCTGCTTCAGGCGAAACTTGAGAAGAAGGCTCTCAGCATCCAGATTGACGAACCTATCCGCTTCATACAGCTTGCCGCCGCTACCGACTTCGGCAGCCTGGAGGTAGGTGTCGCCACCTGTCGCACACCCGTCTTAATGATACAGTTCATTGATATTCTCATTCTTGGCAATCATGGCACTCATGGCAATCATGGCGTTCATGGCTATCATGGCATTCATGGCATTCTCACTCATGGAAATCATGGCATTCATGGCATTCTCATTCATGGCAATCATGGCATTCATTGGCGTTCATAGGCACGAGTGCATTGGCAATGTTGTCGCTGTAGTCTGGTTGCATAGCTGAACAGCTGTGGTCGATAGATTCATGAAGTCTCCTGAGAGACGCTAACTGATTATTTTTTAAACAGGAGTCAACGGCAATTATGACACCGTGCAGCAATGACTAGTTTAGCGATTAACACACTAGTTTTTACTTCTGGTAGTCTTATTGTTCTAATTTTTCCTTACTGGCAAAAGACGAAGGAAGCATCATTGCACTTAATTGTGTATAATGTTGGTTCACTGGTGTGGGGCGTGGTTACCTAGAAATCACGCAGAGGTGCATTATAATCTTACCGATGTAGGTGATGTTAGGTTGACACTGAATGCAGTCGTGTGATCCTGCGTTCTTTCGATTGCAGAACCAATTCGAGCTGAGCCTGTCAATGGCAGTTGGCACCTCCGGCAAGAAGCATCATGATGATATCTCTGCCTCCAAACTAAGCAAGGTACAGTATGCAGTTTCCACAGTGGCGGTGCTTGGCTTGAGCCTGTGAGACGACGATGGCAGATAACAGTTTGCTAGATGCGATTATTAATTCTGCTTGCGATTATAGTGTAGCAACGCTAATGGCATTCCACCACTACCAGCGGCAGCGCATCGATACACCCGGGCTAATCTTACACCACACCAGCTGGCTAAAAGCCCGATTTATCTGCCGGACACATAAACAGCTGTTAAAATTAGTTCCACACTAAAGAGATAAACATATTAGCTGCATCCCTGCCCATTAGTACTGGTCAGCTTTCAGCAGTTACAAACTAAATACACACATTAGCCAAATCACTTCCCATTAGTACTGGTCAGCTTTCGGCTATGTACAAACTAGATATACACATTAGCCGAATGAAGTTATTTCCAGACGGCCGTTAACGGTCAATTACGGTAAGCGATCATCCAGCATACGTCATATCCACGTTGGTCATCTACGTGGCCGAGGGGAGCGTAAACACATCTCCACTTGTTACTCGCCATTGGCCGTCCACTCCATACCACTCTAAAAACTGACCATAGCCAATAATCCCAACCCTATGCCGTTCCTGTGGCCAGCAGTGATTGGGAGAAATATATTTGGTAGTAGCATCGCGGCTGATCTTGCAAGAAGGAGTATAAAACAGCCCGCACGGGAAGACACGGGGCTCTCGTCCTCACCCTCGTCTGTAGCTAGTTTTAGTGTGTAGTGCGCAACCTTTAGTTTACCCGGTGTGATTTGTACGTGTTTTAGTGAGTATATAATATACGGTGAAACGACAGTTTGTAAACTACATCCTTCTACTCTCATTTTATTAGCTTACCTTGACATCGTCAAGCTGAGCTATTGCCATGGGTCGTCGTACATCTGTCCATCAACATTTCGCTTCGGTCAACGATAACTCAGGAACCGTTTGGCCCACATGTTTGAAATTGGGTATAGCTGTTACTGCTATGCTCCCATATTAAACGTCCTATTTTGAAGCACGCCAGTCGACGTACTTTCGAGCCACAGTTTTTTTTTGGCAAAAATTGGAATTGCCATTAGTCAGTTCAGGTTCAACGGATTTTGCTCATTTTTGGTATGTGAATGAATAAGGGCTAGGGGTTTTGATATTTAAATTTTTTTTATGCAAATTAGGTAGAGTTTGGCAATTATATAGCATATTATATAGACACAAACAGTCTGTGGTGTCACACTCGTCTGGTTCGTTTTACAAGATTTCATTGACAATATCTTTAATGCAAAATTGGTATTTCCTCTCCACCCTGCCGATAAAACGTCTATAGTAGAGAACTTATGTCGGAACGCAGCATAACCTATTTATTTCAAACGCCATCGCTACAAAGCGGGTATAGCGCCATCTATGGTCACAAATTGTGATTCATTTTGATTTATAAATTATTATTGCGATATACAGATGGCAATCGTTTCTATGATGTACGTCGATGGTTGCTCAATTAAAACTGACTTCTTCTTACTCACTCATTTGTGTCCTTTTTTGTGGTGAGCTACAGTGTCATTGACCAGGGTTCGTAGCAGGTCTTCCAAAGTCTTATAAGTACTTATTTTGCCAAAAATAAAATAAGGGTCCTTATTAGTACTTACTTTTAGTGAAATCTTAGAAAAGTACTGAATAGTCCTAGTTTTTTGCCAAAGGACCATTTTTCTACATTGTTTTATAAACTGTTCTCGACTTAGAGTAAAAATTGTTGTATATATAATATGGAATAATTAAATCTGCTGTGCAATTGTGTATATAAATATTATTAGTGTACTTAGTCGGTGATCTATCAGAAATTGCGTAAACAAAGTCTTATTTTGGCCTCCAGAAAGGGTCTTATAAGTCCTTATTTCAACATGTGTCTTACTACTATGAACCCTGTTGACACTTTCATTCCTGTTTTACACACAATTACACGGCGCACATAGCACGCAAGCCACAGCGCACAGTTGTCTGGCAGCCGAAATTATCCAGCGACCACAATAGCATCGTGATTGGTTGCGACTTCATGCTCTTTTTAGCTCACCTTGACATCGTCAAGCTGAAGCTATTGCCTGGGTCGTTCGTCCGTCGTACGTCCGTCCGTCCCGTTCAACATTTCGCTACGCATCAACGAGAGACTCAGGAAAACCGTCTTGACCCACATGTTTGAAATTGCGGTGATACTTTTACCTGCTATGCTCCCATATTAAACGTCCCCTTTATTGAAGCACGCTAGTCAGACGAACTTTCGAGCACGTGGCCAATTTTTTGGCAAAATGGTCGAATTGCCATTGTCAGTTCAGGTTCAATGGAATTCTTGCTCATTTGGGTATATGTGAATGAATAAGGGCTGGGTTTTTTGATATTTAAAAAAAATGCAAATTAGTATAGGTTTGGCAATTATATAGCATATTAATAGACCATAACAGTCTGTGGTGTCACACCTCGTCTGCTTCGTTTTACAAGATTTCCTTGACAATATGCTTTAATGCAAATTTCGGTATTTCCTCCTCCACCTGCCGATAAGACGTCTATATTAGAGTGAAGCTTAACTAAAACATGTCGGAACGCCAGCATAACCTATTAATTTCAGAACGCCATCGCTACAAAGCGAGCGGCTATTAGAACCATCTACGGTCGACAAATTTGTGATTCATTTTGGTTTTATAAAATGTATTATTGTGATAATACAGATGGCAATCGTTTCTGATAATGTACGTCGAATGGTTGCTTCAATTAAATCTGACTTCTTCTTTTACTCACTCATTTGTGTTCTTTTTTGTGGTGAACTACAGTGTCATTGACACTTTCATTTGTTATCAGTGTCTCTTCAAACTTGTAGCATCATTGGTGCAGGTGATGTAACTTGTAGCATTATTGCTGTGAGTGACGTAACTAGTAGCATTGTTATTGTTGTAGGGTGTGTTAAACTTGTATGTATTGTTGTTGTTGTAGGTGTGTAAGCTTGTAGCCGGTTTGGTATATTTGTCGTAGTGATGGACTTGTAGCGTGTTGTTGTTTAAGAATGATGTAACTTGTAGCGTTGTTGTTGTTGTAGATGATGTAACTTGTAGCATTGTTGTTGTTGTTGTTGTAGGTTATGTAACTTGTAGCGTTGTTATTGTCGTAAGTGATGTAACTTGTAGCGTTGTTGTTGTTGTTGTAGAGGATGTAACTTGTAGCGTTGTTGTTGTTGTAGGTGATGTAACTTGTAGCGTTGTTGTTGTTGTAGGTGATGTAACTTGTAGCGTTGTTGTTGTTGTAGGTGATGTAACTTGTAGCGTTGTTGTTGTTGTAGGTGACACAGCTGACTGGCTTCAGTGATCCCCGTGTATGCGGGAGGCGTACGTCAACGTCAACCAGTACGACATCGTCCTCGACGTCCTGTTGTCAACCAGACTGCCGACACACTGCAGAACGTGACGCTCGAGCTCGCCACACTCGGTCAGTGCTGTAGACGGCGCGTGTGTCTCAGGCTTGCATTAGCACTATGTGGTTAGGTTTTGCTGGGTTAGCTGATAGGGCTTCAGAGAAGATGCTTGACACAATGTTAGCTAGGAATTAGGAATTTCATCATGTTACTCGCCTTTGCATTCACTTATAATAAATTTACATTCGATTTTGAAATGCATAAGTCGCATTATAAAGTTGTAAAAACTTTTAATGATTTTTTTTCGTTGTTCAATGTCAGACAGTAATATAATATAGCATTAGTTACTTGTTGGGGGAAATGATCGGCAAGACACTTGGTTTACATTCCTGATTCACACACAGGTGATTTGAAGCTCGTGGAAAAGCCGACCCCGATGACCATGGGACCGCACGACTTCTCCAACATCAAGGCCACCGTCAAGGTCGCCTCGACTGAGAACGGCATCATTTTCGGCAACATAGGTGCGAGGTTTTGACATTTCTACACGTGGATATCTCGTGAGAATTTTACATCGATTGTGATTAAGAAATTGATTGACTGTGACCAATCTTCTAGTTCTTGCGAATACCTGTTCATTTATGTCGATCATCTGTTTCACATCTCTTGTCTTTCTCCCTCTCTCCCTCCTTTTCCTTCTTTCATTCTTTACCATATCTACCTATAGACCCATTCTTAATTGATTATTCATGACCTGGGTTCACGCACGAAAACGAGGCTAAGCTAGGCGAATTCTTGTAAACAATGGCTGACTCTAGGCAGCAGGCACGCACACAAAGGGTTCGGTAACGCATGACACTCAGGGTACACGCCACGTACACGCGGCGTACACGGAGATACACGCATGTACACGCACGTGACACGAAGGGGGCTACACGCACGTACACGCAATTACACGCACTTACACTGAAGATACACGCACGTACACGGGTACACGTGGGACACGCACGTACTGCGCATACACGCACCTACATCGCGGGTACAACGCACGTTACACCGCGGCGCATCGCCCACGATCACACTGAGAGTACACGCACGTACACGCGGTTACACGCACGTACTACGCGGGTACTCGACGCGACTACACCGGTGGTAACACGCACGTACACGCCGTACACTGCGGTTGTGCACGGAGATACACGCACCGTACACGCACGTCACGCGGGTACACGAGTGCACCGCGGGTACACGCCACGTCCCGCGGGTACACGTCACGTGCAGCCGGTTACACGCACGTGCACGCGGGTACACGCACGTGCATCGCGGGTACCGCACGTGCAGCGCGTGTACACGCGGTACATCTAAGTACACGCCGTTTACACGTGGGACACGCACGTACACGCGGCGGGCTATGACAGCAGATCACAGGCTGTCTTTAATTAATTAAAGTGCCGTGTATGTAAAAGTTTTAAAGCATGCACCTAATTAATTAAATGCGTGTATTGTAAAGATACATGCATGCTCTGTAATTCCAAACATCAGGACAAAGTCTTACAAATTTATTAAAACGCGTGTTGATGTAAAGTTACAAGCATGCACGTAATCCATACCAATCAGATCTTCGGCGTGAACAAATTTCGTTCGTCTGGATACCGATATTTATGAGTACTATACATTCGATATTAGCGTGGGGTCTGTCTATATTCAGCCTGTACAGAGATAATTTGCATATTTTGGTCACGTCGGTTTGTGTTAACAATGAGATGCTAATCGCTGTGTCGTTGACGGTCCTTGCCAGCTTGCTATGCGCAATTAGCGATCTAAACGTGCAGAAGTCTGAAGCATGGTGAGGTTGGTGGAGAAGCAGGAGGAGAGAAGCTGGTGGAGAAGGGGAGGAGCGGAGAGCTGGTGGGAATGAGAAGGGTAGAGGGAGAAGGCTGGTGGAGAAGGAGACGAGGGTGAGATGCTGGTTGGAGAAGGAAGGAGGGGGAAGGCTGGCTGGAAGAAGCTGGTGTGAGAATGAGGAAGGCGGCAGAAGGAGAAGCTGGTGGAGAAGGAGCGCAGGGGGAGAAGCTCGGGGAAGGAGGAAGGGGAGAATGGATGTGGAGAAGGCAGGAACGGGAGAAGCTGGCTGTGAGCAAGGAGAAGGGAGAAGGAAGGTTAGGTGGAGAAGGAGTGAGGGCGGAGAAGCTGGTGGGAGAAGGAGGAGGGAGAAAGGAGAGGTGGTGCGAGAAAGGAGCGAGGGAGAGCTGGGGGAGAAGGGAGAAGTGGTGGCGAGAAAGGACGAGGGAGAAGCTGTGGAGAAGGAGGAGGGGGATAAGGAGAAGGTGGCATGGAGGGGGAGAGCTGGTGAGACGAAGAGGAAGGCAGGGAGAGAGGGGATAAGGGAGCTGGTGGAGGAGGCGGTGAGAAGGGAGAAAGGGGATAAGGAGGGAGAAGGAGCTGTGGAGGAGGAGGGGGAGAAGAGAGAGGTTGTGGAGGAGGGGGAGAGCTTGGTGCAGAGAAGGAGGAAGCGGGAGAAGGGAGAAGGTTGTGCGAGAAGGTAGAGGGGAGAAGCTGGTGGAGAAGGAGGAGGGCAGAAAGCTGGTGGGAAGAGGAAGGGGAGAAGGAGGGGGGGAGGAGCTGTTGGAGGAGAAGGGGGATGTAGAGGAGAAGCTAGGTGGAGAAGGAAGGAGGCGGGAGAAGCTGGCTCGAAGCCTTCCTCCTCTCCACCAGCTGTCCCTTCTCCCCCTTCCTCCTTTCTCACCAGACTTCCCCTTCCTTCTTCTGTCCACTACCTTCTCCTTCCCGCTTCCTCTTCTCACAGCTTTCTCCCCTACCTCCTTCGTCCACCAGTCTATCGTCCCTTCTCCCTTTCCTCATTCTCCACCAGCTTCTGCCCCCTCCTTCTCACCGCTTCTTTCCCCCTCCTCCTATCTTCCGACCACTTCTCCTTACTCCCTTCCTCATTTCTCACCAGCTTCTCCCCTCCTCCTTCTTCTACCAGCTTCTCTCCTGCCCTCCTTCTCCACCACTCACCATGCTTCCACTTCTAGCACGTGAGACGCTTTGCCATACAGCTGGAAGTGACGTCACGAATACGCAATTACATCTGATTGGTTAACACAAACCACGTGACAAAATATGCAAATTATCTCCTGTACCGGCCTGAATATAGACAAGCGTTTCCACACGCTGAGTCTGATTGGTTGGAATTACGTGCATGCTGGCGGGCGTGTACGTGCGTGCACGTGCGTGTACCCGCGTGTACGTGCGTGTATCTGCGTGTATGTGCGTGTACGTGCGTGTATCTGCATGTACGTGCGTGTACCCGCGTGTACGTGCGTGTATCTCCGTGTACCCGCGTGTACGTGCGTGTACCTGCGGCACGTGCGTGCACGTGCGTGTACCCGCGTGTACGTGCGTGTATCTCCGTGTACCCGCGTGTACCTGCGTGTACGTGCGTGTACCCGCGTGTACGTGCGTATATCTCCGTGTACCCGCATGTACGTGCGTGTATCTGCGTGTACCCGCGTGTACGTACGTGTACCCCTTCTGTGCGTGCCTGCCTGAGCAGCCATTGTTTACAAAATTGCCTAGCTTAGCCTCGTTTTCGTGCGATGACCCCAGGTCATGAATAATAAATAAGAATGGTCTATTACCACCCTTTCTGACTCTCCACTTACTCTGTTGTCATTGCCTCTCTCACGATATGTTTTTTGTGTCGAGTACATGTGCCGTGTCTGTTACAGTGTATGATGTAACTGGGTCGGGCAGCGATCGGAATGTGGTAGTCCTCAATGACATTCACATCGACATCATGGACTACATCATACCGGCCACGTGCACCGATTCAGAGTTCCGCCAGATGTGGGCTGAGTTCGAGTGGGAGAACAAGGTGTGAAGTGATGTACAGAGTGATCGTAATTCGTGTATAAGTGTGGTGAATGATTTAAATGGTTTTGGCCACATTGTTTCCAACTATAGAAGATTTGCCAGTTTTAAACTGCAACTAGAAGGCAAAGGGGTTTTCCTCAAGGCAGTTTTCCTAAGCATAACAACCTTGCCCACATAAAAGCATCTAGCTTTACTGAGCAAAGCTTGTTATGGAACCCAAAGCTGTAACATGTGTTTTGCACGTGTTACATGAATTAGTCAGTGGAGCTAGACTAGTAGTTGTTTTAGTCATAGTCTAGCTAGACAGAGCGTCGCGCATCTTGTGCGGCTAGATTGATGTTATAGGGAGAATAGTAAACGTGTTTTAGGTCTGCCGTTTCTAGGGTCATTGTGAAATGGGAGGTAGGAAGTGGTCTGGGGAACCAGTACATGTGCGTGCAGGATGTAAGAGTTGGGGGGAATATATAGGACAGGGATGTAGGAGTCGAGAGGATTCTGGGTCTGGCCGCGGAAGGAGGCACACACGCGTATCTGCGTGTGCGCGTTCTTTGTCTCTTTGTGCGATGGGTCTACACTGTGCAAGTTATTAAAGTTTATTCCGGTTACTACAACAAGTTTGAATTTATATCATCATTCCTCGTTACAAAGCATCACAGTTGCAGAAGCCTTATGCTCTTCAAATTGAACCACAAAGGACAAAAATATAAAAGTACCGCGTTTTTCTGTTTGCATAGCTATGCTGTAGCTAGCATTGATGGTTCCAACACGATTTTCGCCTTCTCAGACTATTGGAACGTTCTATTGGAACGTTGATGTTCCCGCCGTGTGCCGATGATTAGAACAAACATACTGCTGTTCACAATCTGAATGTACAGTGTTGAGTTACATGTTGAAATATATATGAGGCACGCCACATAATAACACGGTCATTGAAGTTACATCCTGCATGTATATCAACTGGAATTATGTTAAGATACTTATCAAACCCAGTTTTAAAACAAACTTTATGTGAATCATACTTGGTAGTAGATTAAATATTGGCAAAATTTTCCGTGCAAAACCCATGTGTGTTGTCATTACAGGTGTCTGTCAATACTAACATTAAGAACCTGCGTGAGTTTCTGGCACATCTCATCAAGTCGACCAACATGAAGTGCCTCACTCCAGAGAAGGTGAGTACAGTCACCTTGGCAGCACAGCAGGCAAAGATCCAGATTTGACGCAGGCATGCCGTCATCTTGATTAAGTGTAATGCCCAGCGAACGTAATACATTTGCTGCAGCGGGCGATTGGTAGCAAAAGTTAATTTTCAATCTAGCTAATTGCAGCTACACACTATCATGGACTGGGCGGGCACTTTTGCATTGTAATTACGTTTTAATTGGTAGCAAGTGTACATTTTCAATCTAGCTAATTGCAGCTACACACTATCATGGACTGGGCAGGCACTTTTGCATTGTAATTACGTTTTAATTGGTAGCAAGTGTACATTTTCAATCTGGGTAATTGCAGTCACACGCTATCATGGACTGGGGTGCACACTTGTGCATTTCCATTACTTTATTGCTCACGCTGTGTCTGCACTGCTTGGGCAGGCCCTGTCTGGTGAGTGTGGCTTCATGGCAGCCAACCTGTACGCTCGCTCCATCTTCGGAGAAGACGCGCTGGCAAACCTGAGCATTGAGAAGGACTCCAGCAATGCAGACGCTACGGTCACCGGTCACATTCGCATTAGAGCCAAGAGCCAGGTAAGACGGACGACACTTCCCAGCCTTTGCGCGCGTTGATTCTAGCAGAGTGAAATGCACGAGAAACGGTGTGACGTCAGATTGCAATGCGGTTTAGAGGCGGTGGCAATGATCGAGGCTGGTGCATTTGTTAAGATTCTGTCACAAAGCAATTTTTGTTATCGTGAGTGTGATCGTTAGGGTGGGCGTGCTACTCTACTCGCCACCATGTGTGTGGTGACTATTGGTCCACAGAAAATGCCTCGATCACATGGCATGAGTCACCGCAGCCGCGACTCACCTTACGCCATCCCATATGTTGTTGTTCAGTTAGAAACTACAGCTCATGGAGCACACCTTAGAGTCGGTTTAGTGTCTGCTTCTAAAAAGAAACATGCATACTGTACAGGGATGATGACATGTGAGAAATCGCTGCTGTTGGCAGTCTATACTGGCTGGCACCCAGTGTTCTGTAGCTACTGTTAACCCTCTTCTCTCTCTCTGTCTGTGCAGGGAATGGCACTGAGCCTCGGCGACAAAATCAATCTTACGCAGAAGAAATCCAAGGCAGAAGCTGGAGCTTAACAAGTGGCATCTAGTGACAGTAAGAAACTGATTGAACAGTTGGTATTGTGCTCACACAGTCGCAACATCTCTCGACTCTGACGAAATAACCGCCAAAGCAGCATTGCGGTCAATGACGTTCCCAACGCGATTGCTAGTGGCCGTAAACATTCACCGTGTTTCCAGGGGGTCAGTCAACGTGTGCGTGTGTATATATTTGTGTGCTGCATGCTGTATTCAGGGATGAGAATCTTCCGCGGAAATCCGCGGATTTTACAGTCCCAGGGTCGATTTTGTGAAACGTCTAAATCCATTGAGAGAACATTTTATGGGGGGTTAGAATGTACAAATTTTCATTTTACAGTCCAACAGTACCTTCATTTAATAACATTGTAATATAGTTCGCTTTACAATATAGACACGGCTTAGTTCACTGTTCGAGATTGTCAGACGTTGGCCAGTGTGTGCGTTTATTTGACGCTGCAAGTGTGTGTGTATGTGTGCCGCGCGTGCTACGCAGGCCGTATATAGTACGCGATCGATCGATCGTGTACATCAAAAGCCGCTGCGTCACGCGTGGCCTTGAGGCTCGTTTTATGAAGTAGCCGGCCCAGGCTCTGCGACTGTTTCACGTGGTAGGAAACTTAGGTACGAACTGTTTCACTTCTCGCCAACGAAGTTCTGTTTATAATACATATATACATAACCATAAAAGGTGGTGTCGCGAGCTGCCTTTTTCGGTAACCCTTGAAAACGATAAAAAAATTAATGTCGCACGATCGCGCCCTAGCTCCTAGGGTGTTAGGAACATTATCGTGCATGCAAGGGAGGATTTTTGGGCAACCTTTGGCGTAGCAAATAAAGCGTTTCTTTTCCTGATGTCTGATCACTGTGGGGCTCACAGACTTGCCTTGGCAGCAGGACAAGCCGCTAAAGTTGTTCAATATGATAAAATATCTACTGTAGTGACCATTTTCAGCTGAAAACACAAATTGTCATTCCCATCCCTGTGTATTAGAGCAGCCAGTGCTTCTTGGTGAAAGCAAGACGATTTACAAGTCGACTGCGATGGATTCCCATTGGTTAGGTGTTGGTCCGGGTTCAATGATGGAGTTGCTTGTTATATTCGAGGTGTCATGGCCTACGACTGCGCGCCGCTTGTGGCATCGTGAAACTGTCATAAACACGCAAAAGTGGCTGTAATGCAATCACAAATTTTCATTTCTTGAACATGTTTGAACACACGAGGGGTACAACATATGGTTGGTGATGTGCTATTGGATTTTAATACTGTGCATATTGTACTACATCTCCAAGATAGCCTTGTTGTTAAAGGTTAATAGGAGAGAGTTGATATTTCACTAACCAAGAAGATCAGTATAAAGATGTTTCTTTAAAAACTGAAAATAATAATAGGATGGAAGGAAGTGTTGAGCACGTAAGAAGTCCGTGGCTATAATTATGTTTATAAGTGAATGCAAGATTACTATAATACACGTTATACGTGACATATATCCTACATTACGAAAATAGTGGAAATAAAATCAATTATTCAGCAATTTTTTGGTACGTATTATATTTTTTCGACTGATTCATAAGAAATGATACATTGATATCTTGGCACTTGTGCAATTCTTCTACTTTACTTCAAACTACAAATTTTCCTGATGAAAATACGTGAACATTGGTGTGTGAAGGAGCCCTATGGGAAATCAATGCAACAATGAATGCTACAACATACGCAGTGCTGTGCCACATCTGTAACAGGTAGAGATGTGCATTTACAATCTTGGAACACTGGCTGTTTTAGTGCGCAAGAACGCACAGACACAGCTTTACGGCTTTATGTGGAGCATAATTAAATTTAAATTGTAAATTACACAAATTTTGTGGCACGCAGCCTCGTAACTCTCCTGCTTTTTACAGCGCACGTGGTTCTGTCATAGTTTGCACGTTGAACACCTGTTCACACAATAGTTGATGTTAATCCATTGTCGAAGAGATTGCCGCCCCACGGTGCGTGCACCGGTGATGATGCGGAGAAGGAGCCGCGGCCGGATGCGTGCGAGCATCTCTGCGCTGATGCCGTCCTTACAGCACCTGCCGTCGGACGACGTGTGCTGCCTCCACGACCGTTGCTCCGGGCTTCCTGACGCGTGGATCGGTCACCGGCACAGCCAGCCTGCAGCAGCATCGCAAACAAAGGGTAAAAACATCGTTGAAGAAGGATGACGGCTTGCCACCGACCATCATTGCATCCTGGCTTGCCACATCAGCACGATAGGTTTACGTGTGAGGTAAAAATCTAACAACATTCTATTAATACATGTATAATTTTATGCATGCATGCCTACAACTGTAGTGTTCGTATGCATACCTGTGAACCATGTGTAGTATTAAAAATTTATCCTAAGCACAGAAGACACAGCCACACGCATTTAACGAAACGCACACGAACACAGTAACACCAAGACGAATACCAACACGCATGCTGACACGCACGCATGCGCACCCACGTACGGACCCACATGCACCCATGCACGCACGCACGCACCCACATGCACGCACACTCAAGCATACGCACACGCACGCACGCACGCACACTCAAGCATACGCACAAACACGCACGGACACGCACATGCACGCACACGCATGCACACATTCACATATGACCACGTATATAAGAATCTCGAGTGTCAGGTTCCCTCACTGGTAGTTGGTCTTGTTGTTGACGACAAACAGCGGGTTGGGATTGGCGAGAATCTCGTCATTGACCGAGATTCCGTCGAGGTACTGTTTGAGCACCAGGCGGAGCTGCTCGTTGTCACGGGCCAGCATCGCTCGCTCCTTCTCCAGCACCAGCTTGTCCAGCAACACCTTGTTGTAGCGCTTCCAGAAGTTCTCCAGTGACGTGTAGTCGTGCATCAGCTGTAACACGCGCGCATGTGCAGGCAGCAGCAGCAGCGAGGTTAGCAGAGAGCTACACTGCTGCTGCTGCACTCTGCTTCTCGTAACGCAACATGATTAATACGGGTTCGTACACTCCGAATAAAACATTTCACCGTAACTTTTAAGCACCGTTTTTCTGGACCCTGAGATTTAAGCCCAACTTGACCATGTTGACATCAAATTAAACCGCCAACCACTAAACACTAACGAACTAACCAGTTGCGTACGTTTGACAACAACTCTTAATGCATCTCGTTCCTTCAAGATGGACTTTCCACTAACCATATAGCCTAATTTTCAGAACTTTCAAGGCTTTCTTCAATTTTAAAATTCAAGAAATTCATAGATTTTTCAGAACCCATAAGAACCCTGGAACGTGCATGACAAAAATCTGATTGATCATCATGACTTGGTGAGTTTTGTCATTGCCACGTGGTGATCGGTAATTTTTAGCTGATGCATTGCACGTGAAAGCCTACTGGTGAACGAACATTATTTCTCGTGCAATATGTCACGAGGACACGAGCCATTGCCGTTCAGATGCACATGCAAATCGTGGCCAAAGTAATAGTTACTCATAATCAGTGACGGCACCCATTCAATAAATAAACGTCATCAAAGATTGTCGCAAAACCATTTGTGGACAATAAATAAATTTACTCAAATGAATGGTTAACGAAATCATTGTGTGTCTAACGTGTCCCGGCACCCATTCCTGCATCAGTGTTAAACGCATTCCTGCATCAGTGTTAAACGCATTCCTGCATCAGTGTTAAACGCATTCCTGCATCAGTGTTAAACGCATTCCTGCATCAGTGTATAATGCATTCCTGCATCAGTGGTTGACGCATTCCGTGGTGATGAAGCCCCTGGCCAAATCATCGTGATCTGTGGTGACCGGGCGGCGCTATTGGCGTCCCGCGTGTGAACGGTATCCATCTTAGAAAAGCGCGAGGCATGAATGCGATCAGCCGCTCGTCTGCACTTTCTCTAACATGGGTACCTCGGCCAGTGGCTGCGTGGCTGGTGCACCAGTAGTGTCGATCACCTCAGCCGTCTCCTCGTCCGTCAGGGAGGAGCCGTAGCATGGCAGCACCTTCTCCTGCTCCGTCTCCAGCTTCCTGCAGATTTCGGCCACGCGAAGGATGCGCTCACCCTGGGGAGAACCGTAGCGTGCAACAGCACTCAGGAAAACGTGCAAGCATGCGCGCGAATGCACGGCGATTTGTGGAGGTGGTTGTTTAAAAAGAGTATGTTAAAGCACGGACACTGCCGAGAAACGCATCGAATTTAAATGTTTACAAATACAGTGACTGTGAGGGAAGCTGGAACTAAACATCATCCTTCTAACAGACACTGTCCTCCCCCCCCCCCAACTAGATGCCAAATATAAATACTGTTGGTGAAGTCGTTTAGATCTGTAATGGATGTAAGGACAGACACACTACAGTGTCAATTTGCAAACTGTGCGTGCACGCTTTTTCGATAAGCCAAAAATCAAGACTGGACCTTGATAGCCCTGATATCAACTCTGAGACGGTATTATTTACTAGTTTGAGACAAGTAGCAGCAGGTACCAGTTCTGCAATGCGACTCAGATCTGCAATGACAGCATTGCTCTCCAGTGTTAACTTTGTCAGTTTGCCTCGCTCCTTCTCCCTGTGTTTGTTCATCTGCCCCTTTAGCTCCTGAAAGTGAGCCAGCATGGCTTCTCTCTCCTGACAAGTAAGAAGAAAAAAGTAAAGAGAATAATGGAATGCAAGTTTTCTGCGTAAGTGTGTGCGAGTGAACTTCCTGGTTCGCATTTGTGTTTGTGAGCTCCCACGCTCATATTATCTTCCATCTTGAAACTATAGTTTTTACGCGGTCAATCTTTCATAGCACCCTATTTTACATAATTTTTATCTTCATTAGAAGACCGAAACAAACGCGCTACTAGGAACGACGAGAATTCATAGAGAAAACAAATGCTATGCAGTGAAATCGCAACTCCATGCACGTGCAATTATTGCCAATTAATAATGCAGCAATTTAATTAAGGCATATAAACACGTGACACGCCATGTTGCTATGCAACCAAATCACGCGACTCACTTTGGCCTTGCATTTGCATAACTGGATGAAAACAAATCAATTTTGATGAATAAGTGATTGGGCACGGAATACACCACCATACACTGAATGTCAAATATCGTTCAGGGTTACGTTTCTTGAACCTCACATGTGATACAGCTGTTAATACTACTTAGTGATAAGAACAAGCAAGGTATACTACCTACATTCATATTAATATTCACTTGCGAGAAAGTGTATCATAAAAAGAGGGATAAATACCTCTCGCAGATCTGTGTTTGTATCCTCGCTCTCCTTTGCACCTTGAGCCATCTTTGACTTCAGCTGACTAATTTGTTCCTATTAGAGTTAGATAATTACCTATTATGCACACAAAACAGTACGTGTTTAACAACTACAATTTTGATACAAGTAAAAACGTGCTAGAAGATCTATAATCTATAAGAACGGCCGGAAACACGTCACCCACACCACTAATAATTCACATCGCTGACTCAACACTCGACCACTTTCATCACTGATGCGTAAACGAACTGTACATTTAATCACTTCCTCGAGCTTTTATCACCACAGGGCAGCACATGGAGTGGATGCATATATTAATCACGAGCTGAAGAAGGAGTAAGTACTGTAGCGCGAGCGGTTAGTAACAACAGGGTGGACAGACCGACAGTCGCTGTATCCGTCGCATCTGAGAGTCGATCTCGCGGGAACTCTTCTCGTCCTTGTTCTTTAGGTCCTCGAAAGCACGCTTGCGCTCCTCCGTCGCCTCATTGTAGCCCTTCAGCGCTAATTGAAACTGCGTCCACAGGTCTTCAATCGTCGTCTCCAGCTGCATTCTCAATGCATGCTTCTCTTCCAGGTTCTGTAACCCAAAGGTTTATCCAATCTAACTGTCTGAGCCAGGGATACACCCAGCTTCGATCACCCACAGTGTCAGTTTAGTTTGAAGATTTCGTTTCAAGAAGGATGTTTGTTGCAAATGCAAAAGCTGTTTTCAAAATTTCTACGTGCTCAAAATGTAACTATATTGTGATCCTATTGACATAATTCTTTTTACCTTGTTCTTAATCTCATCCCGCATACTCTGAAACTCTGTCTTTGATTCATTCTCCTGCTCTAAATACCGTTGCTCCATCGCAAACATGATATCTAAGAGTTCGCTGGTCTCTTTTTGATGCTCGGCTATCATTGCTGTCCGTTCAGTGTCAAACTCTTGCACAACGCCTGCCTGAGAGCTGTTCATATTCTCTTCCTGAGACTGCATTCTTTCTTCATGCAATGCTGGTGCAACAGAAATTCCTGATTTACGATCTCACATTCCGAAACGAGCAAATATTCAAACGACGTTCATGAAAGTAAATTATAGTAGAGTATCATTAGTTAGGCAAATAAAGCTGGAAACAATTATTGTAGCTGTCTGAGGTACGAATCTACATTTCGAACAATAATTCGTTAATGCATCTTTTCACAATTTTAGTGGGGGTTTTATTGAAACCAATAATTTTACAAGAAAGCATTACCAAGCCTATAGCTATAATTTATATATTGGTCATCTCTATCAAATGTGAAATCACACAAACATCCCAAAGACATAAATAAACTCCTATAATATTTAATTAAACAAAGGTTCGTTTTACATAACCATGTTATACAGTAAATACACTTACCTATAAGTTTGTCCAGACTGCAAAGATGAGTTCTCAAGGCCATGCAGTGCTGTTCTTCTGATTCTTCCAGATCTTGTACTAATGCCTATTAATGACAACATGGATGAAAAATTGGTCCCAGTAATATAAATGGGGTTGAGAACCATAACACTGACTGCATTTACTATATATTGTTATAAAAAGTAAATTTGCACTGATCGTAATACTGCTCCCAGCAGAGGCACAAACACATTTTCTCGAATTCCATGGAAAAGCCCCATATGTCTATAAATAGTTACTGTTTTATTTATACCTTTATCACACTGTCCTTCCTATCAACAACCCTTTCAAACGTTTGGCTGAGAATTTCTATGTCTTGCTTTAATTCTCTGCTCTTTGATTCTCTCATTAGCTGACGCCATCGACTGCATAACTTATCCAAATTGAACTTGCAGCTTGCCTCTTCCCTGGATAATTTTTCCTATTTGCAAAAAAACACGCATATTCATCATTTTCACGTTATATGGAGGGATAACATTGATATAGGCCTTCCTATAACAATGACTTGGTATATATATACCAAGGGCCATACCTTGGGCGTGTACAGGATTTGTACCAGGGGGGGTCTAACCGTAACCCAAACTTGCAAGCACGCGAAGGGGGGGTCTGCGAAAAAATTTGAAATTAGACCCCCTTAGATGCGTTTTCTGCGCGAGCAGGGGGGGTTCAAACCCCCTGGACCCCCCCCCTGTACACGCCCCTGATATAGGAAGCTAATAACAAGTGTGTGAGGAAATACCTTGAGGTACTGGGCTAGCATTTCCTCTTTCTTTTTCATTAAACTCTCCTCTGCTTGCCTTTTTTGTTCGATGTAGATAATTCTCTCCTCCTCCGACATACTACCTCGCCGTTTTGGTGGCATCTTGATGATTTGTTTAGGTTATTACTTATATATATGTAATGTATATTATATGTATGGGTGTATGTGTCCTAACAAAGTAATATGGCTTTGTATGATTATTGTTTTTTCAGTTGCTCTTGTTACATTATTACTTTAGGTAGCATATGGATAGACATGCACTTTTTCTCCTCTAGGTTGACGCACGCTGAAAGATGTACACAATTTCACATTAGTGATGAACCTTGCATAGTTACTACAACAGAAGCACGAGTTTGGCTCTTGCTTCAGGACCCTGCTCGTGCACAATCGTTATCATACTGCACCACCATGCCTCAAACCCTATTCATATTCTAGCTCTACCTGTGCAGTCCTTCACTCTGTATGCCTAATATAAGGCTAAGGCTAAACTAAGCTTAGCTCTATTTTTAATTTTTTAATTTTTTTTATTTATTTATTTAGGCAATTATCCATCATGATCATATATTATTATATCAGGAGTAGATAATAGGGAAGGAGTGTGACTTCAATAAACAAGGGAGATTCGTCATTTACTAGCCTTATATAATTCCTACGATTTACTATGCGTAACTCATCCAACTTGAGCACAAATCGTATGCAGTACATTCGCCTAGCATCGTGCGAAATCGATCGTTTCCTCGTATACACCAGCAATCCGGAGATACAGACTAAAACGTATGACACGATTATCCATTCTTTGGCCATCACTCCGAACGTATTCCCCGCCGAACTTTCGACAGGTCTGCTGACCTGATGAAGAGATGTAATCTCGAAAGCTTGTCAATTGCACTTTAACCACCCTTATTCTATACCTTGACTTTGTTTTTATATATATATATATATATATATATATATATATATATATATATACGTACTATATAT